ATCCCAGAAAGAATTCAGTGAAAATATCTTTACAAGTGCGTTTTTAATAAAACTTGATACAGAAATACAAGCGCAAACAAAAACATTTTACAATATCATAATAATTTCTATTTAAGATTTCACGCATTTCATATTTTAACCCTCCGTCGGTCGGAGTGGTCTGGCCAGACTTTTTGCGACTTCAATTTAAAAAAAAAATACTTCTAGTAATCCTATCAACTTGAAATTTCTTGACTTTTCCTAAAATTTTCTTAGCTATCGATCAATGAAAAAATCAGAACAAAAAATGTACAAAAGGATAATTATAAGAATATTAACTTTTTTATACTTCGAACGGTCGGAGTGGTCTGTCTAGACCACCCATACTTCAGATATTTTCTATTCAAACTGCGTTTTATATATTCTTTGCTATGTGTTGAAACATGAATGTTGGCATTTACACGCACACATATGAAAATGCCTTGAAAAGCTATCAAACTTATTGGTTATCGCAAACATTGAAAATCGGATGAATAATGCGCACATTATCAACAATTTTTCCACCCGTACTGCGATCGAAACTGTTTTTTGGCAAACGTGTAGCCGTAAGTATGCAGTTCAATTGAAATTATATTTTCACTTTGAGTTTTACAGCAAATTTCAAAGGCGACGCATCTCATTTCGTTTTCATTTGAATTTTACATTCATTTCGAAGGCGCCGAAGAAGAACAAATATTGTTTTTCATTGATATAAAACAGAAAAATTAACAAAAAAGCAACGATTTTTTTATATTTCATGATTTTTTTTTAAATATTTTTATTAGAGGCAACACATGCAAAAGACGGTAAGAAAAAGAAAAAATCAAAACTATAAATATTTACTACTAATAATTGTTAATATATAAGACACCAAAAACTCATTTATCCCATATAAATGCATGTAAAATAAATGGTGGTCCAGCCAGACCACTCCGACCGTTCGAAGATAAATAAATATCCGACCGACGGAGGGTTAAATAAATCTTTGCTACTTTCTATAAAACAAACAGCTTAACATTAAACTACTTTGTTTAATTTGTCACAGTGAACCCTCGGTTAACGCGGCAAGTCCGTATCGTGCAGTATTTGGACCGTGCTATAAAAAACTCGTATTTAACATACAATTCAGGCTAATTCGTAGTGCGTTCTATGAAAACTTATATAGTGCAGTATGGGAACCGTGCTGTGAGAGACTCAGAGTTAGTACAAATTTGCACCATTTTTATCGTGTTGTATGGAGACCAAGAAATACAACTTGAAGTAGGAGGACAAAATGACACATATGACGTAGACGCCTTATTCAAAAATTGGCGCAACGCTGTAATCAGTTCAAACGTGTTCTTAGACAGCTATTATATAATCAGGCATCTATAAAAGATAAAAGTCGATAACAAAACTTACAATAATACCCTTTTGATATCAAGTTCCTAGAATCACTCATAGGTTGCGCAAAGAACTTATGGGCTGTTATTGTAATCGTCCAAAAATCGAAATTGAAAATTTTTACATTTCTTCACGTTTTGAAGGTTTCTGAACATTTTGGCATACCTCAGAAAAAATGGATGTGTGTGTTTATGTATGTATGAATACAATTTTTCGTCCACGTTTTCGAGCGCACGGATCAACCGATTTGAATGGCTCAAAAAACATTTGATTCCTATTGCTAGGGAGATGTGCTGATTAGTTTTTGGCAAAGGCAGGTCCAACCGTTTCGGAGATCAGGAATAAAGAGTGCAGAAAATAGAAATCGAGTTTTTGAGAGATCGGAGCATCCAAATTGAATGATCCAAAAAACATTAAATTTGTAAAAACATGTAAATGTGTAAGTTTTTATTTTATATATTTGAATGTATAAATATATATATATATATATATATATATATAATACATATTCAAACGCTAATTATTCACAACCTCCCTGATAACCTTAAATGATTACTAAAAACCATGGCAATTAAAAAAATAACTAATTTGTCTAAACGAAACAAGTGATAAAATAGTTCATAAAGTGCAATATTGCAGCTGTATCCTAAATTCTAATTCCATTATATAAATAGCATATATGACTATTTAAAAAAATGATAAACCCACACGAAACCCCGTCGATTCATATATTATCACAGTGACTAACTCGCGGGATGTATTGTGGGATGGCAGCAAATTTTAATTAAGAATGGCATGGTGCCTCCGACAAATATACTACTATGTAATTACAATGTACTCTTAATATCAACAGTACGGACACAATAAAGCTTTTGACAAAATAAAATGTTGAAAACAATAAAAGAAATGAAAATAAATAAAAGGCTGATAAATAAAAAAATGTCAAGACGAGAAAATGGTTTATAGATAAATAAATAAATTTAAATATAATTATTAGGTATAACCGAATCATGTAGTTTAATTGTTCATTTATAATAATACAAATATATAAACAAAATACAAGATAATTGTGTCTTCTAAATGGCGTGAAATATAAAAAATAAACAAACACTAATAGTGCAAGACATCCTGCCTTAAGACAAATTGCTGGAAATTCTTCTACCGTAATGAAATATTCGATAAATATCAAATGCTTTCAAATAGATTATTATAAATTGTGCATCTTTCATTTTTCGTAAATTGGAGGGCGACGTTTCTATATGTTTATATGAAATAAATAAACAAGACTTGATCGAGCGGAGTTAGAATGAAGGAACTTATCTCATATTTCTAAGAATTATAAACTAAATTTCAAAATTAAAAATATTTAGTTCAAGTATATAAATGAGTTTTAGCATTTTAACTAGAATTAAAATTGAAATTCGAATCATTTTTGGTATTTACCAAAAGTTTTTAATTTTGAAAAATAAATGCCTTCTCCAAAGTTTCGTCACAATAAAAATGTTTTTCAATAATTCGAATCAGATGCTTTGTTCTCTCAAAAACTGCCATTTTTTACACTTTTAACTACTTATCTCGGAAATGGCTGGACAGGTCTTTGCCAAAAACTATTCAGCACGTTTCACCAACAATAGAAGTCTATTGCTATAAGAACCATTCAAATCGGTTGATCCGTACGCAACTAATCGTCGACGAAAAATTGTATCTACACATACATCAATTATTTCTAAGGTGTGCCAAAATGTTCAAAAACGTCTGAAACGTAGATCTGTTTTTGAATTTTTGAACAATTACAATAACTTATAATACAGGAAATTAATACTATGATAAGCATATAGCTATGAAAATAATATCTGCCATTGATTAAAAACCGATTTCTACTTAAATTAATAAGCAAAATGTATACTAGCAATTTGCAAATTCATTCAGTGAATGGAATCCACAACAAAACAGGACATATACAAAACTGCTAACTTTCGTTTTCTTCTGAGCGCACATTCCTCGACGAGTTATTATGTAATGATTAACAAATTCATTTGAACAATGACATTTTGAATTTCTTTGCATTCATTAATTCGTTAAGTAACATTTCATTAACAAGATATGTAATGGAAACACTTTATACAAGTCAACATATATATAGCATAGTTATTTTTAAAATGGTACACATTCGGCGACAAATACAAAATTATGCCAGATTTATATAAATACGGTGTGTAAATATGTCTCCCTCGCTTTGATAAAAGCTTACCAGCCCAAACGATTGAACTGTTCCCAATTGGTCATAATGACTGTGTCCTGGCAATTTAATTGAGACAAAAGGTACAATACTATTCGCTAAAGCTGACTTCAAACACATTATTGATTTAGCGTGCGTTCTCCTTAAAATTTAACATTTAGAATCCGAAAGAATCCGTTTCTATGTTAAAAATATACATACATACTTACAAAATAACGTAAGGAGTCTATTACACTTTGACCGCAACCACAAAATTTCAACGCCTTTGTCACAATTTCAATAAGTTTCATTTCATATTTTAGGTATCTCAATTAACAAGGATATCTAGAATCGATCATACTGATCATCTGATTCTATAAATATTGACATTTAGTAACCCAAATCTTTGTGTTATGACGGACACTTATAATTAATGTTTGGTCTATTCTGTATTAATAACTATCTGCTGACAGATGCAGTCGCACAATATTAGCTAAAACGCGTTTTTATTAAGGTTAATGAAACTATTCTAGTACATTAGATAATTTTTGATAAACTAACATGCAAGTTAAATAAAATAAAACTAAAATATATTACACTATACAATTACTATTTCTGTATTTTGAGGTTATCGAATTTACGATCGTATGTCAATAGGTATGAATGTAAATTATGAAGAAACTTTGAAAACGATAATCTAAGAAATGGACTCACCAAACGTACACCTAGTTTCCCAAAATAACAAATACACAGTACACTGCAACATAAGTTAAAAAACAGTAAGAATAAATCACTAATCCTGAAGACTCATTTCACAGTTCGAATAAAGTAAAGAATAACTTTGTGAACGGGATATGTGCAATTTATTCTCGTTACGACATGTTAATACATGGAAACAATGCTCTTCTGAAGTACATTCTGGTTTAATTGCAAACACTACATAAACAATCTCTTCAATGTTTTAATGAAATGCATTCAGAAATTCTATTATTTTAACCTTAGTTATTTTGAGTAGAGCACAAAATTAACTAAACTGTAACAGATCAAGCATTAAATTATATATTATGATATTACGCATACAGAATTAATAAAAATGTAATAAAATTTTTCTGCAAGCATAAAACATCTAAATCATTTTATGTGCAGCTCAGCTACTCACAGCCTTAAAACTTGAATAAATAAATTTTCATCTTTACAAATGTCAGGTTAGAATTTGTGAAAAGCAGTAAGACGGTAGAAATAATGTTATAAACTATATTTTAGCAGTATTGTAATTCCAAAAGAGAATCTGAAAACTTCTGTTTCATGATGTGTACAATTAATTCAGATGTCAAAAGGCGTGTAAGGTATATGATAGAAGAAGGAATAACAAACTACTTACAACAGAATCATTGTAAATTTGTCTATAATAGTATCTTCTATTTTCTGAACAAATCCACAAACGTCAATAACTTGCACTTTATTAAATTTCACAAATAATCACATCACATTACACACAAACAGCACCAAGCACTTGACTAAAATGGCGAACCTTTCCTTTGGGGGCGTTAACATCGCATTAGTTCGCGCTGTGTCGGCCATAGTCGGTGCTTGTGCAATTGGCTGCATTGGGCGTGCAGAATTTGAAATTTGGAGGGATTATGGAATGTGAAATTAATAGCTAATAAAAGAAAAGGTACGTTTTTTAAATACTTTATTACGAACGTATTTTTAATGTAAATAATATTTCATAAGTATGGATTAATTAATTTAATAATTGTGTTTTGGTATTACCAGTACATTGTACTGCTATAATAAATTTATAGACATAATATATACTTAATTATATACATCACAAAATTATAGAATAAATATACAACATAATTTTTAAACTTTTATTGTCAAAAATATTTTAACATTTTTAACGAGCAGAGACAGACACCTGCCATACTCTGATAGTATTGTCAGAATAGCCAGCGAACAATGTTTGACCATCAGTAGACCAAGCAAGGGAAAGACATTGTGGAGGTTCGGTTTTACTTGTTGGTGATACAACTTCTGGCCTAAGCTCTTCAACCATTTCCTTGCTCTCAAGATCCTGAAGAAAAATAAGAGTATTAGTATTTTTATTCAATATATAAATAAATGAGGTGTTCAATAGCTTTGTGATTAAAATATAGCAATTACCCAGATCTTAATGGAAGGTCCAAATGCAGCACACAACCAATAACGATTAGGGCTGAAGCATAATGCAGAGATTATGTCATTATGATCCAATGTATGCAAATGCTTGCCATCATTCAAATCCCACAACATAGCTTTGCAGTCCTGAAAAAAAAAGGGCTTAGAACACGAATCTTATGAAAAATACAATATGTTAATAAAAAAAGTAATTCATAGTCTGCCTTATACAAAAGTGTCTTCATTAATATTCGTTTTGTATATGATATAATCATATTAATAAAAATTAAAAATTGTGCAAGTGAATGTAAATTTACCTTTCCACCTGAAGCACACAGAGAGCCATCAGGAGATACTGTAACTGTGTTCAAATATCCTGTGTGTCCATTATGGTTTATTTTTAGCTTGCAATTAGTTAAGTTCCATACCTAAAATTAATTTAATAATTAAACACAAGTCTTAAACTGATATCCAGTAATAGTGTAAAATTACTATCAGTCCCATATCCGCAAACCACTCACAGACTTCATGAGGTTTAAAAAATGCTCATCATGATATTCATATGTTTATTTTAGGATAAATTTATTTACCTTAACTACACGATCCCATCCAGCAGAAACAATGATAGGGTTGCTGTGATTTGGAGAAAATCTTACACAGCTAACCCAGTCAGAATGGCCTTCATCTTGAATAGTATATTTACATTCAGCTAATGTATTCCACAACTTGATGGTTTTGTCACGAGATCCAGAGACAATTTGACGATTGTCAACAGAGAAAGCAACAGACAAAACATCCTAAATAAAATGTCACATTAAATTTCAGAATTTAATAAAAATTATCTTTTTAAATTGACTAGTATATCAGTCCCATATCCGCAAACACTCATAGAAATCATGGGATAAACAAGTTTCATCATTTCAGGTGTCACTACATAAAAATATGTTTGATCAACTTTTAAATAAAAGTGATAATTGAATCAAATTTACAATTAGATTTAAATTGTAATAAATTTATTGGAAACAATACTCTGCAGCATAATATCTAAATAAATATATAAAGATAATACGACCAGCCCTAGTAAAATAAAATTACTCACATACTCCAAAAACAGCTTAAGTGAAGTTAGAAGTGCAGAAGCCACCATCCACAATAATTGCAGCGGTAGAAATATCTGTCACCCTTTCTTCTGCCACGCATTGGCACAAAATATTCAAACCCAAGTAAATTTAACAAAGACCCATTTATGTTTAAGCCACGTAATGGTAGCAAAAAAAAAAAAATTGTAACAAATATTAGCATTTCGAGTAGTTATTTGTCTTCTGCCACGCATTGGCACATGTTAATTATTAATTAAAATAACCCCATAAAATGTAAATGTTTACACAAAATCTTCTGCCACGCATTGGCACATATTAAGATAAATTCACACCTTAGTATGGTCCTCGAACCTACGAGTGGTCTTGCCAGCAGCAAGATCCCACAGACGCAAGGTCTTATCCCATGAACCAGAAAGAGCGTAATTTCCATCAGAAGATAGAACTACGTCACTGATGAAGTGTGAGTGGCCATACAGACGCTTTTGAGGAATGCCGTAATTGGTTTCATCACGAGTTAATTTCCATACAATCAATGTCTTATCTGAAAATAAGATTAAACTTGAACAAAGAACTTCTGTCATAATGTCATTCGAAAAACGTGTGCAAGTGCAATAAAAATACACGAATTTCATTTGACTATTACTTATATTAATTCAATAAAACACTCAAAACGTGACGTAAAGCACGCCGAGTTGAACTAAATCTATCATTACAAAAAACGCTTAAAATAGGGGTTATGCCAATAAAATGTTACACCCCATATTAAACTAATCATGAACAGTGTTGTTCGTAAGCGCTAAAACAACGCCATTAATTCATTATACATGTACGCGTGTAAGATATTTTAAATTAGAAAAAAATTACCTCTGGATGAAGATAAGATCATATCAGGATATTTAGGATTAGTTGCGATTTGAGTAACCCATCCATTGTGTCCCCTAAGGGTACCTTTCAATTGCAAAGTTTCTGAAGACATCTTCAAGAGAACTAGCCACGAGTACAATCAAACTAAAAAAGAACGAACTACAAATTTGTCTCGTGGTGGACAGCACCCCACTCTAACAAGAACGAGGAAAAGGAAATCGCTACAATACTACAAACCTTTGATTGGTCGATGCATTGCAAAAAGTCTATACACACAGAGGTATTGAAATGATGCGAACTTCACTACTGTAGTAAAATATTTACAACCAATGATTTCTAAATGAACATTTAAAATTAATTTACGGCACTAAAACCATTTAACATGACCTAATATAAATAATAACAATAATATTTTGCCAGTTGTAAAAATTTTGTAGTATTTAAAAACGATTTCAACATTTTAGTTTAATATTATTTACTGATAATCCAATGATTAAAGTTTTTCCTCATTACTTAATATAGATTTTTATCGGTAAATAATTAGATTAAATTTAAATTATCACTTGTAAATTCAAAATTGTGATAAATTAATTTTGACTAAACACATTCTTACTAATGTTATAATGCATTCTTACTGTTATTGACTATTACTACTAAAATACATAGAAAAACATTAATCATACCGAAATAGTTTATAGTTTTATCCTCAATATAAAAAATATACTAATTGACATCAGTAAAATATATAAAAATGATAGTGCGCGGAGTCAGCACACTTGGATACTTTTTAAAATGAATATAGTAAGAGTGAAATGTAAAAGTGAAAAGTATAGTTAAAGTGAAAATGAAAATAGTAAGAGGTAAAAATTTTTAGTCAACTATTATTTTATAACTTTAATAACCACTCACAGTTAATGGTGTCTTAAATGTTTTTATTTTTGAGCAAAAAAATTCTTAATATTTACAAAATAATATAATATACAGAATGATTAAGATCTCTCTTTTTGACATATATTTTTTAAATACTGCGTCAATGTTAGATTTTGTTCAGACGATTTGCAATATTTTCAGAATATCCAGAACATTTTCATACTATCCAGAACATTTCCATACCATCCAAAACAATTTCAGGCTATCCAGACCAATATGAAATTATCCAAAATATAAGTCTATCTAGAACATTATTAGACTCTCCAAAGCATTTTAAAAATATCTTCGGCATTTTCAGACTATCTAGAACAGGGCCTATTATCTCAGAACAAAATCTGCATTCAGAAGAATTAGTTAAGAGTCCTATGGTAGTCAAAAATTTAGCGCTAGCGAGCAGATGAAAAAGTATTGTCAAATGTTTTATGTCGGCTACTAAGAAACATCAGTGTTATTTTTGCTTCATTTGACAAATTGTGATACTTGTTTGTTTGTGTTTGTACATTTGTTAATGAAGATTTTATTAAGAATTGCTTTCAAATGCATAGCCCTTAGACAAAATAAATAGAACAGCTTCCAACTCAGATACAGGACATAAATATAACGTAGTGCATTGACTAATCTGTCAGTTAATCATATTACACTTTAAGGAAAGAGACCAGTTGTAGGAAATTCTATAAAAAAAACAAAATATTTAGAAGTCTTTCAGCTGTTCAAAATTGGATTACCTAAAGTTGTACGGATCTGAATTTACTTAGAAGAAAATGAATTGCTTAAGAATGGTAAATTCTGCACGAGATGATTATTGGTTAATAAGAGTTTAGGATGGCAGACAATGTAATAAACTAACACTATAATGCATTATCTCTAAATTTCTCTTAATATTTCTATTATAAGTTAAAAAAGATAAGAAGTTATTCCAGTAGATAAGTTGTGATGTATTTTTAAACTGGTAATGTGTTTTATCATTTATATTTCGATTTGATTATAGATTTATTATAATATAATATTATGTAGTATATTTTTGTTACTATTGTGTTATTACAAAACATAATACGATTGTAATACCAAATTTAGTTTCAAATATCCGAGTCCCATGGCTGAGTGTAGGACCCTTTATGCTTATTTATCTATGGTAGGACCCTTTAACTATCCCTTCTAGACGTAAAAATCGGGAGAGAGTCTATATGAATATATCATATTATAATATTGTCTAGGATCTAGAATATCCGCTTGTTCACTTTTATACTCTCTCCATAGTTCATCTCAATTTCTTTGAAAATAGCTTTAGAAGTTTCACTTCAATAGGGCTGTTTCTCTGGTGTGAGAAACATTTAACGCAAACTTTTGCAAGTCTAATTTGACATGACCATAGATAAATAAGCATGACATCAATATTTTTGTACCTAATTTGATTCAATCCATATTTGATCCATAGATAAAAGAAGTATAGAGTAATTCAATCTATCCATATTAATACTAACATAGCAAACCAATAACAAAATTTAATCAATTTAATTAAATTTACACAGAATTAACATTTCTAGTTATTTTTTTGTACAATTTTGTGTAAATTTAATTAAATTGAATGAAATCAATTAATTTTGATAAATTAATTTAATTAAATCAAAACACAATCATTTTTAAATGTACCAATAGTTTTTCAAAATTACCCGACAAAAAATAATGTTTTGGTCAAAAATGCGATTTCCTTATTTTATGTTTGCTTGACGATGTAAATCATTCTGGATTGTTTGACACAAAAATTTGAAACGTATGTATATGTATGTAGTGTTTGGGTAACTGAGCCCAATTTTGAAGTTTTCAAAAATTAAATTAATTTAAAACCGATTTGATGAAACACAATATGATTCCGTTTGTTTATTATTTTTGCGAGTTTATTGGCCGTGCCGTTTCATTAGAATTAGCAGAAAAGTACTAAAATTTTGTCCACATTTTTGCCAAAAATCTTGGACTGATTTTGATAGTTCAAAGTTGAAAAAAAACTGATTTGTTTTTTGTAAAGATCGGCAGTTTCTTCGTATGAATTCATAAATTTTATCTATGGGTTTTAGAACAAACACCGTTTATATTTTAACCTTACGTGCGCTCGTGTACTATAATTAGTACAATTAGAAATATTATATGTAGAATAATATTGAGAATTGGATTAAATATTTTTAGTGAAAGCTAGCTAAAACGTTGTTTTCGAAAGTTACAGTTTGCAATTTTAAAGGTTGCTCAATTTCAAATTTTATTGTTTTCCTCGATTATTTCCACATACAATAAAGTTATGCAACTTGCCTTAAGGCCAAATGCCACTTACACCTAGACCAAATTTATTTATCAATTTTATTAGTATTAAGTTATTAGGCTAATGGTATACAAATATTATTCAAACTTGTTTATGATCTATTCTATCTCATTACTTTGGCGTGTCTCTAGTGTGTTTCACCTTTCAAATACACTTCGACTATTCTTTGCCGTGATGTTGGCAATGGTCAGTTTTTAATGCTCTCTTTCATGTGTTAGCCATATTGGTCTTTTCTAGTTGAACTTGTTCAGCAACATGAGGTAAGTGCATATTCTGGAATTAATAGTGATTACTGTTCGTGAAAATTGTGTAGATATAACGTATTTATTCCCATGTTATTTTAATATAACTAACAATGAGGTAAATAAACAGTGTTTATGAAATTAAGTGATTTTTGTAAATTGACCACATGGCATATTTACATTTAGTGATATAGATATACAGACATTTAGTGATATAGATATAATCGGTTTTAAGGTTCGGGCCTAGAGTCACTGTTAGATGATATTCTTCTAATCTTTTCAGTGCTACAGGTTACCCGAATAGCAAAAAGTAATCCTTCATATGCCCTATACTGGTTACATACCAGTCATAGGTACCTAGGAAGGATATATTCTTAACAAGCACTTAATGCAAATAGTAAATACATAAATTTACTTTGATTTGAATAATCAGCTAAAAATGTTTGTTACAGTTCCCTCAAGTTGCAGAAGAGGCTGGCCGCCTCGGTTATGCGATGTGGTAAAAAGAAGGTATGGCTTGATCCTAACGAAATCAATGAAATTGCCAACACCAACTCCAGTAAGTTAATCACTTAATTAAATCCGAATTTTATTTAAAGGTTCACAATTGTGTTGTCAGTTACATATTTAAGACAATCAAGATGTATGATCATTGTACTTGCAAATCAATTTTATGAAATAACATGCACTTTCGTAACATGAATTTCATTGCATATGATACGTTGAAGTATATTTTTTATTAAAATATATTAGTTGAATATTCACTAAATATAATTTAGTGTTATTACTTAGTCGGGCCTAGAGTCACTGTTCGATGAATTTTCTAATCTTTTCAGTGCTACAGGTTACCCGTAGAGTAAAAGGTCCTTCTTATGCCCTATCATAGCCTTTGCTATGTATAGGTACCTAGAGAGGAGACATGCACATTTTGTAAATCTATTTACACTTATTGCTTATCTTATACTTTTGACACCAAATTTCTACAAGTTAACATATGTAAACAACTTATTTCTCATGTTAATTAAATACTTTAATTTGTTTAAAACACATTAGATGCTTTCTTACATCATAAATTTTCTAAACATTTAAAATATTTTATACGAGTTAATAAGAACAAAGATCGTTATAAACAAACATTTCAAAGTAGCTTGTTACTTATTTTTCTTACAATGCTAATAACTCATTCTATTATCATATATTTAGTTCTAAAGCAATCATTGCTAGTTATCTGTAACTTCAATTATTCATATTTATAACTGATATCCCTGTGAAATGTATCCAAAAGTTTAATTATTCAATTAATTGAAACCATACTTCACTTTCTTCAGGGCAAAATATCCGCAAACTCATTAAAGATGGTTTAATCATCAAGAAGCCTGTGGCTGTACACTCACGCTCTCGTGTACGTAAAAATACTGAAGCCAGAAGGAAAGGTCGCCACAGCGGTTTTGGTAAAAGAAAAGGTACAGCTAATGCCCGTACACCACAAAAGGTAACTCATTTAGTATTTTTGTTTCATTCATTGATCAAATGATGATTCAATATTTCTGACACCTCTTATGAATAATATATGATTCTTACATTATAAAACTGAAGTTTATCAAAGTATTTTTTTATTTCCAAATTCTTGGAACAGTTTTATAAATAAGCAATATTTTCAGGATCTATGGGTACAACGTATGAGAGTCCTGAGGCGTTTGTTGAAAAAATACCGTGAAGCAAAAAAGATTGATCGCCATTTGTATCATGCACTTTACATGAAAGCAAAGGGTAATGTATTCAAGAACAAGAGAGTTCTTATGGAATACATCCATAAGAAAAAGGCTGAAAAGGCACGTACTAAAATGTTGAATGACCAAGCTGAAGCTAGGAGAACAAAAGTACGTGAAGCACGTAAACGACGTGAAGAAAGAATTGCTACTAAAAAGCAAGAGCTCTTACAAACTTACGCTAAGGAAGATGAAGCAGCAGCCACCAAAAAATAAATGTACCCTTCCTTGATAAATAAAATAAATTTATAATAAATTTAAAATGTATTTGTTTTCTATACTTGTTTACTTAATATAATTTTTTTATACATAAATATTTTTTATTTTGTGAAAATGCAAATATAATATTAAACATATCAATAATCAATCATCAATTTTGTGCACAGAACCATGTGACTTAAATTAATGTGGTCTTAATTTTAACAATTATGAGCTTAGTTAGCTCTCTTATGAAAAATAATAAAGTATAAAGCTAAATTTAAAAAAAGCATTCCTTGCTAAATCATTCTGAATTAGATTTTAATAATTAAATAGTGCAAATGAGATTTGCTGTTATGTGTAATTTATAGCCTAACGTTTCAGAAATAGTGCTTATAATCATATACAGTAAATCAAATACAATGTATTCAAATATGTATATTCATACCCGTCATACATACTCGTAGATGTAATACCTAGACATGCCACATGGGGATATTTTATAGGTTATGTTTGATTATTTTATATTCGGCTCTGTTTTGTTAATGGAATTATGCCAAAATGCGCATTAACTCGTGAATAATATCAAATTTTGCTTTATATTTACCTATAAAATCAATCAGTGTGTTGTTTTCACTATAGAAAATTATATGTTTATAAGGTTATGTCAGTGTTTATGGTTTATTAATGATTTTAGTAAAAAAATTATAGCAAATTCTGTACAATGAGCCCTAGCATTACAACGCCGATTTTAAAAAATTTAACAGTGTCAAATTATGGACAACCTAAAGAATCACAAAATGAGGTATACAAAATTTGTTACATGTTTTATGCATTCTAGCATATAAACAATATTTATATTCAGTCAATAGATGATTTTTTTGTAAATATTTTTTATAAATTTATTTTAGATTTTACGAACATTAGGAACTCCACACATTGATTCTTTCAACTATATGCTCTATGAAGGTTTGAAAACTGCTGTTTCGAATTTATTGAAACTTGAATTTGTTTTACCAAATGACGATAAAGTTGCAATACAAATTGAAGATGCTACTATATTTTCTCCAAATGTTCCTGCAGGAACAGTCGGAGTTAAAAATTCAAAAATCTATCCAACAGAATGTAGACAGAGGGCAGCTACATATAAAGGAAAGTTTTTAATTAATGTGAATTGGTGGTTGAATGGTGCCAAAATGGCTTCATTTGAAAAGGATATGGGAGAAATACCTATAATGTTAAAGGTATAAGAAACTCTTAAATATAAACTGTTTTATTAAAATGTAACTCTTATCATTTACTTAACAAATAAGTTGTTATATATTATTACAATTATCAAACTTATTTGTATAATATTTTAAAATACTGTTTTAGTCGTCAATGTGTCATCTTAGTAATTTATCTCCGGCTGAAATGATAAAACATAAAGAACATGCCGATGAATGGGGTGGTTATTTTGTTGTTAAAGGCCATGAAAGACTTGTGCGTATGTTATTATTAACTAGAAGAAATTATCCTATTGCCGTTAAGAGATCTGGTTGGAAGTCTAGAGGAGCATTATTTAGTGACTTAGGTCTATTGATTAGGTGTGTTACGGACGATCAAACATCCACAGTAAGTTATTTCATTATATAATTTGTTTCCAAGTAAAACAGCATACAAAAAAATAATTATATATATATATATATATATATTTCTAAAAACTCTCATACTATTTTTATTGATGTAACGTCCGGCTTTTTAACTCAAATTAACACATATATATATATATATATATATATATATATATATATATATATATATATATATAACTTATATTAAAAACAATTAAAGTATTATTGTTCTTCAACTTTTAGAATAACACATTACATTTTGTGACTGATGGTACTGCCAAACTTATGTTTTCACACAATAAAGTTATGTACTATGTGCCCGTGATGTTAATGTTTAAATGTCTTTTGGGACATACGGATCAGCAAATTTATTGTATTTTGATGAGAGGACTAGAAGATGATCTATACTATTCTAGGTAATATTAAGGAATATTCAAAGTTATACATTTTATTTTGAGCTATTTATTTAAAACTCATTATTTTGTTTATTTAAAGTTGTGTGCAAAATATGCTGCGCGCAGTTCATGAGGAAGGTTTACATACTCAAAATCAGTGTTTGGATTATATTGGTAAAATGTTCAGGGAACGTTTTGATGAATTACCTCCTTGGTATACAAATATAGAAGTTGCACAGTATATAATCAATGAATGTGTTTTGATTCATCTAAAATCAAATAGACATAAATTCAATATGTTGGCATTTATGACACAAAAGCTATTCAAATTATCTGAAAATAAATGCAAAGTACGTAATTCATTCATATTTTACTTACTTTACTTTAGGCCTAGTTGAACAATCATGTTATGCAGCAATTATTTGTTTAGCAAATATATATATAGCTTCTACTATTTTTCTGATTTTGTAAGAGCTCAATAATTTTAAGCATACAGGATAATTTGGTTGCATTGTCAGTTCGTTGCTCATACTATCCTGCATCACATGAACTGTTTAAACTTGTTTGATTTCATACAATGACATTCAATGACATTACTTTAAAAATTACTTAATTGTAGATAGAAGGAGCAGATGCTGTTATGATGCAAGAATTGATGCTTGGTGGCCACCTGTATCTTCAAATTTTAAAAGATAAATTACAAACATGGCTTTATAATGTGCGTTTGAATATATTAAAACGAGCTCGAGCAAAAATCGGATTTGAATTGAATCAGAAGGAGATCACTCAATGTGCTAAATTTGCTGGAGGCTTAGAAAATATTTTAGAATCATTTTTGTCTACAGGAAATTTGTCCAGCAGATCTGGATTAGGTTTGACGCAGAATACAGGTCTTACAATAGTTGCTGAAAATATTAATCGGATGCGTTATATGTCTCATTTTAGGTATAATAGATTCATAATTGAAAATTTATTATATATTGATTAAATGTAATACATCTTACAATTTTGCACAGCTATTTTATCACTATTACATTAAAAATTTTGATGAACTATTCTGTATCATAAATTGTATTTATTGTAAAAAATTATATTTAATTTTCGAATGTATTTTTTATTCAATGGCAGGGCTGTGCATAGGGGAGCTTTCTTCACGGAAATGAGAACCACAGAAGCTCGACAACTGCTGCCTGATGCTTGGGGTTTTATTTGTCCTGTGCACACACCTGATGGCACACCTTGTGGGTTACTTAATCATCTTACCATGGATTGTCAGGTTACCAATATACCAGACCCAGAAAAACTAGCAAATATTGAAATCATGCTAATTGATGGAGGTTGGTTGATAAAGTTATAGGGAAATATGGGCAAAATGGCACAGTGGCCTTATTTAAAAATTATGTAGTTTTAGTAACTTTTGCACGATTGTATAACATGAAGAACTCCATAAAACAGTTATGTCAGATGTTGCGCGTCATTGTTACAGTCTTGTAGCAATAATCAGTTCAAACATGTATCGTGCTCTCAAAATTTTGTATTGTGGGTGGTTTTGTCATGATTTAGAGGACTTATTAATTGTTATCTGTAATTATTTACATTAAAATCGATGTGCATATGCTAGTTCTAGTATTTTTTCAATTTTATTGTTTATTTGTGGCTAAGAAAAAGAAAATTCAAACCTATCAAAGTTGATTGGCTTTTAACATCTATTCAAAATACTTTTAAAAACAACCCAAGGAATCCACTTATGTTTATTGCAAAACACTCTTTTTATTCTGTTCTTTATTTTCTATAATTATGCTATAATACAGCAGTTCTAAAGTAATTACACATACAGATGTGGTATGTATTTCTTTTGTAATTGAAAATTGAAATATGTAATTTTTGTATATGTAATTATTATGAATTATTTTTGAACTATTGTTCATTATTATTTTGTTTTTGACTTTTTGGCTTGGCTGCTAACAAATGGTATATTATTATTATTAGACATGAGAAGGAGATATCACTCCAAGGGTGGAAATTAAAACTTAACATGAATACAAAATTTACTTATACAAAATAAATTATTTAATCATTATGAAACGGCATACAGCTATGCCGTTTTTTTAAACTAAACTCCTTAATAATTCTAAAGGTGTCAAAATATATTATTTAAAGAAATGCCACAAAGTCTATTCCAAATCGGTTGATTCATTAAGATAACAATATTAACACAGTAAACAATGAAATATCAACCTGTTCAGGCAAGTACAAAAGGGTCCACGAGTATCAACCAAACTCACTTGCCACAACACTACTTGGGCCATTATTAAAAAATTCATTCTACATTAAATAATATATAAGACCGTTGTTTTATCACTGTCAATGGTCAGATGATTTTATATTTTTAGAGACTTGATGTTTATTCCTTACATTTTACTGCTCTTTTTAGGTAAATAATAATAATAGTATCTATGGTAATAGAGCAGATCTATGGTGTGAGAGCACCACAAATCAATGATACCCTTTACCTCCCTTGTTTATTATTCCTATTATGATTTTATTAGCATTTTGCACTTTTTTATCCGCTACTATGTTTTTTTCTATTGAAACTTCTGCTTCCATATTATTTTATCCTGTGCTGCGGCTTTCAGTTTCCTGTATTTTCTCTTCTCGCATATGTCATCAACCATCTGCATTCTTTTTTTTCCCAATTTTTTTAGTCCTATATATAAGGTTTAGTATATAGGATTTTAGTTCTAAATACTACCATAAATTAAACTGCTACTAGTTTTACATTTTCTTAACAAAAAATGTTATACATTTTTACAATTGTATGGGGTAGATGTTTATTAATAATCTGTATATTATGAGGTATAAATATATCAAGCCATACAAATAATAAATTATATTTTGCTTTAGGAATGGTTCCAATTGATTCTGTAATCCATGTTGATTACAAAAATAGTTACAAAGTAATTCTTGATGGTCTTGTAATTGGTCATGTTGTTGATGATAGAGCGCATGCATTGGTGTCCATGCTACGGGAGAATAAAATTTTAGGAAATGACATACCGCATACATTAGAAATTGTATTGGTACCTAAAAAGAAGGTAATATATTATATAATTTTATGCAAATTTGTAAGTAAAAAATCTGAATAATACAGTAAATACTTTTATTTATTTTTGATTGGTAATGAAAATATTGAAGACATAACAAAAAATATATAATTTATTCAAAAAAAAATCTGAAAAAATACCTTTAATATTACAAATTACATTCCAATTGAAAAAAATCTTTAGAGAAAATTGATTGTAAATTTTAGTAAAATTATATACATCTTTTACATTTCTTTTTCTGATAGGTTGTTGCTCAGTACCCTGGGTTATTTTTATTTACTGGTCCTGCTAGAATGATGCGTCCTGTGATAAATTTATCTCTGAAACAAATTGAACTTATTGGTACATGGGAGCAAGTTTATCTCGATATTGCGGTTGTTGCCAATGAGATCTACCCAGGTGTTACTACGCATTTAGAGCTTTCCAAAACAGCTTTCTTGAGCAATCTTGCTAATTTAATTCCCATGCCTGATTGTAATCAATCTCCCAGGTAGCTATATTATTATAAGAAAATATTTTTTCATTTGTAATTTTGATCAATTTGTTATGCATTTTATACAAATGGAACAGGTCTTTTGTATCATAAGATTTATAACTTAATAATTATCATCGATTGTACTCATCATAAGATATGTTATATACAAAATGTTTCAATTTTATTATTTTTAGAAATATGTATCAATGTCAGATGGGTAAACAGACCATGGGTACACCTTTACATTACTGGCCACAACAAGCAGAAACAAAATTATATCGACTTCAAACACCAGCTACACCTTTGTTTCGGCCTGTTCATTATGATAATATTGATTTAGATGATTTTCCAATGGGAACAAATGCTATTATAGCAGTTATTTCTTATACTGTAAGTTTGCAAGATACATATACAATAGATTTATGAGTAAAATTGATTGAGAAATTTTCATTTAGGGTTATGATATGGAAGATGCTATGATAATTAATAAGGAATCATATGAAAGAGGATTTGCACATGGATCTGTATACAAATCTGAGTTTATCACGCTTGAAGATTCATCTAGTTATTTTTGCCGAGATCCAAATAATAAGCAATTAGTAGATCACTTGGATACAGATGGGCTACCTCATCCGGGATCAAAATTGAGTTATAAAGTTCCATATTATTGGTAAATTTATACTAATATCAAGTGCATGTATAAATTTGAATTAATAAGAAGTACTAGAAGTAATTTTTTTTAAAACAGTTTTTACAATGTCGAGGAGTCTAGATATATAGTGAAAAGGTATGAATCAACAGAAGATGCTTACGTAGACAATATAAGATTGTGTGGTACATTTTCTACTATTGCTCCAAAAACAGCTTGCATTACTATAAGGATATCAGTGAGTCTAAGATGAATGTTCATTATTTATAATACAATTGATATGTTTTAACAACGAGAAGTCCAAATTTAATAAGTTATTTAATATTTATTATTTTAGCGAAACCCGTCAGTTGGTGACAAATTTGCTTCGAGAGCTGGTCAAAAGGGTATTTGCTCTCAAAAATGGTCAGCTCAGGATCTACCTTGGACAGAAACTGGTTTAGTTCCTGATATTGTATTCAACCCTCATGGATTTCCCTCTCGCATGACAATTGCTATGATGATTGAATGTATGGCTGGAAAATCTGCAGCCTTACATGGCCTGGTATAATTTTTGTTAATATGGTAGAAATAATAAATTTGGTTGAATAATTGCTAATCAAAAATTATTTGTTTGATCCTATTTCTTTCCTTTTTTAATATAAAAAAACAATAAATAAAATTATTGTTTATTATTATTATTAATCCACCTGTTTTAAAGTGGCATTGAATTATAGCATATCTATAATCATTTATTGAATTTTTGCATAACATTTTATTTATAATCAGGTACATGATGCAACGCCGTTTCGGTTTAATGAAGATGATACGGCTATTGATTACTTTGGAAGACTTCTCGAAGCTGGTGGATATAATTATTATGGAACTGAGCGTCTGTACTCAGGGATAGATGGCCGAGAATTAAATGCTGATATATTTTTTGGAATAGTACACTATCAAAGGCTCAGGCACATGGTGTCAGATAAGTGGCAGGTAAGCTGTTTAAAATGCATTTCATAATAATACAATAATAATCTAGAAAATTTTTAAAGTATTAATTGAAATACAGTAGAATCCGATTAGTATGACGCCGGATATATTGACAACCGCTTATTATGACGTAATCGCACTAGGAAGTTTGGTTTCCATATAAAATTCCTTAAAAAAACAGCTGTCTAGTCGGATATATTGACATTGCTTACATTGATATGTTTCTTATAATGACCCATTTTTGCAAAAAATTATGTCCAATTATAATGACCGACATGATTTTACATGATGTGGCCAAATCTACGAAAGCAATTGCTATGTCTTTTGTGCACAATAGCACTAGAAAAGAAATCAATCAAAAATTTTTGATTACTTACATTAAAAAATCACATTTGTATGTTTATGGACAGGGTAGACCAATTATTAATGGTCCACCACGGATATCTCGTAAACAAATAAAATTAGATTTTTTTTTAACAAAAATATTTGATAGTAGCGATTTGATAGTAGAGGGCAAAAAATGTATAAATTCATAACCAGCCATCATCTTTATTTTTATGACTTTGCTATCAGAAGATAAGCAGCACATGAGTGGGATAAAAAGGACCAGCAGAACCTTTACTTTGGCAAAGGTGTAAGCAATAAAATAGTAAAGTTTAAAAAAGGCAATTTTACAAGAGATTAATTAAATAAATTGTTATTTCTCGTCTGATGAATATTTCTGACCAATCAGATCAATGTAATATACTGTGTTATCTTTGTAACAAATGTACCCACAGAATTAATATTTCGCATTGTTTCAATAATGTAGCGTAAAATCCCTTTAAAATTTAATACAAGAAATTGCATCTGTTTGCCCCCTGGTTGGCCCACTTTACCCCGTATGTGGGGTAAGATGGGTCAGATACCAAATTAAAAAAAAGAGTAAAAAAAATAATATTTATATAATTAGGAATTATGTGAAATTTTTTCTGTACATAGTTCGATAGATGCTTGTTTGATGTGTGTTAGTGTTGCAAGATTCATTGGGTTTAGAGAGTTTAATTACTGAAAGTCAAATTGGACCTTTGTGCCCCGTCCTACTCTATATCAATTTTTTTTTATATTAAATTTTAATATGTGTAATTTTTATTTTTAATTAAAATGTATGTATAGGATTTTCTTTTAAATTACTGAAACATGTAATATATTTACATATTATAATGTTTTTCTTCAGTATGCTTTGTATGACGACCGGTTAGTATGACGAGATTTCGGCGTCCCTTCAATGTCATACTAAGCGGATTCTACTGTATTGAGATATTTTTATATATTTTCATTCACATAAAATGGTTATAATTTTTCTTTTCATACTTGCATTTCACTAAAAAAATGCTATTAAATAATATATTTGTGAATATTTAGGTGAGATCAACTGGTCCCATCGACGGAATGACAAGACAACCTATAAAAGGAAGAAAACGTGGAGGTGGTGTTCGTTTTGGTGAAATGGAACGTGATTCACTTCTTTCACATGGAGCTTCATTTTTACTTCAAGATAGATTGTTTCATTGTTCAGATAAAACCACAGTAAGTAAACTTCCTATAGTTACTGTCTAATAATGATAGTTAAATTGTAAGTTTTTATGGATCATGTTTATCATTGATTAATGCTTTTTTCAAAGAAACACATTAAATTATTTTTTATTTCAGGTTTTAATTTGTCAGAACTGCTGTACACTCCTAGGGCCTATGACTGAAGTATCTCTTGATGTTGCAGGGGCTAGAAGTAGTTGTGATAAATGTAGGATGTGCGGAGATAAAGGAAAGGTTCATTCTATACAAATTCCTTACATATTTAAATATCTTGTTACACAATTCAGTTCTGTTAATATCAATGTTAAAGTTAAATGTAAAGAAACATAATTTATTTTTGAAAATAAGGTTAATAAAATATTTGATAATTTACAAAAGAGTATTATATTATTGTTTATATAATTTTCTTCACTTAAATTTATTTATTACTGTTCATTTATTATTGTCTAGAAAAATGTTCCATGTTTTTAAATACTTTCTATTTATATACTCCACGAACTCATTTTTTAATTGTTTCAGGCATCTAAAAGAATATTGTTTATTATTCTTTTCAGATTACTACTGTATTTATAACATTATTATGTTTCTAATAATACTACTTTATAAAGTACTCACATTCGATATTGGGATAATTTTCTAAATTTTACAATGTCTAGACTTGGAGCATGGGGCATATGTATCATAAATGCTCCAGGCAACACTAAAAATCTGTATCCTTGTGATTCAAGCTCCATTATGTGAGACACTTTATTCCACCCAAATCCAACAAATCGTGTATCATATGGTACAACACTCCTTTTTACCACAATATATGGCTCGAAATCTGGCTGCCATTTTACCTGATATTTAAATTATTATTTTTTATTTTTCTTTGTTTTATTTATATAAATATATAGTTACCCTATATGGTAATAAAGCCTTTCTCCATTTGTCATATTTAGTACCAGCATGTCCAGTTGCCCAAATATGATATCGAAACGTGAACAAAACACCTTCATCCCACATATTCATAAGCTCCTTTTTTGTGCGTGGAAAAGATATGCGATATCTCTGTGATTCAAAAGCGGGTACAACAAACGCCTTGTGTAAAAATAAGTGAAATGCGATATGTTAAATCAAGAGAGATTGAACATATTTTACAAATTTTTAACAATATCAAAAATATTTAGTAAAAAATAGGAATAATAATTGTTTTTGACAACCATTTTTTTTTAAATAAATTATATAATGAGTTACAGGAAATCAAAATAAAAATTTCATTCAATTTGCATAAACTTTTCAATACGTATACATAATCAACTTGAACAATAAAACTTAAGATTTAGCTATTAAGGTCAGAAATAAGTCAACTGTTTATTTCGTAAATAAAATTATTGCTTTTACTAAAAATTAATCAATTCGATTTGCAATTGTTGAACACATTTCATTTATTCTATTTTATCAAGTTTTAAAAATGTATTTTATTTAAGTGCGAACAAGTTTACTATAATCAGTAGCCCAAAACTGCTCAACGCTGGTCGTTATCGAGTTACATAGAATTTTTGAAATCGAAATTTTTTTGTGTAAAGGTCGACGAACGGTCAAAAATCGGCTCACACACACACCCCATACACATTCAGAATGACATTAAACATCTAAAATACATAAAATTAGCAAACCTGATTTTTTCGCGAAAACAAATTCTCCTTGAAAAGTTAATTATATTGAATGTTATTAAAGTTTCTATAGATTTGTTGAAATATATATTTGATTTACATGCGTATCAATTCGATAAATCTGGTAGTAAGTACTTAAGTCATTCGTTGACCGTTAGAAATGCTTATAATACTACTTAAAAAATTGAAGTTTATTTACCGTTTTAAATTGATTATTTTTCACCTGCTGCGTATATTTGCGAATATATTCATATAAAGTAACCATTGGTAAAAAGTCGATATCAGTTAGAAAGACGTATTCTGTAGTTACTTCTTTCAAACAGATGTTTCGCAAATAATTCACCGGATAAAAGTCCTAAAACATAAAGCATATGAAATTCGATTTTGACATTTGATTTCCAATCGTAAAGTGGATAAAGGAATGAAATTACCACTAGATTATTTAGCATATTAGTAAAGAAAAACTTACCCCTTCTTTATAAACGATGTGGTATGCAATATTTTTTCGTGTATTCAGTGACTCTGATGATTGTATATAATTCAAAAATTGCTGTACTTCCGTATCGGTCATATATATTGCTAAGCTGATAGGTCCTAAAGTTGTAAAATATTGTTATGAGAAAGTATCCGAAAAATTTTTGTATAAAAAAATTATCTGATATAATTTAAAATATAAAAGTGAAATTAATTATAAGTTTGATATTCACTTATTTTCATGGTATTTTGAGTGATATGGAATATCACATATTTTGTAAAGTAATCTGTAATTTAACTAGTTGTAAGTGGTATTTTGCCTTAAGGCAAGATTCATGCACTTGCGGACATATATAAACAATCGACATAATAAATAAAAAATACATTAATTTATCAGTGATTTAAAAGTATGCCGAGTTGCTGTATAGATCATAATGGGAGAAACTATTGCAGATTATTCATTTCTGTAATTTTATTTTTATTACACATTATTGAAAATTTAACACGTACCTAATACAACTCGGAGTATTTACTAAAAGCGCGATAAATAATTAAACTTCTAATAAATCTTTATAATTGAACAATTTTCTGTATCACCTATTTTAGTATATTATAAGAGCAGGTTTTCTATCGCCATACCAAGTATCATTAAAATTATCGAGAATTTTTTGAATAATCTATTACGAAGAAATGGCCATTATTATCCAAAACAAATAAGCACTTTTATGCGAATTTTAAAGAAGCTGATCATATCAAAAAACTAACCAACGCGAGGGTACTTACCAAATTCAGTCATTTAACGTTTTTGATGAAAGGTCTAATTTTAACAAACGCCAAAAAACGCTACTCATTTTTTCAAAATTTGATAAATTTTTAAAATTAATCGACTTGTCGTAGGGCCGTAATGATTTAGTATGTTCCATAAAAACATGATATCTATTATTAAAAAAAATCATAAAAATCGTCGAAAAAACATGTTATTACGAAGAAACGGTATGGACGATCTTTTCGAAGACGAACTAATCGGCATGATTCCCAACCAATATTCTTCGAACGGTTTTTGAATTTTCAAAATTGATTCTGGATTGTGAGCTAAAACGTGGACAAATAACTTTACTTTTTAATTCCTCGCAGGGTAATTTATAGCAATTGCAAAAAAATCGAAAATGAAAATTTTAATATATCTTTACGTTTCAGAGGTTTCGGAACATTTTGGCATACCTTAGAAAATATGGATGTGTGTGTTTGTGTGCGTGTGTGTATGCATGAGCGGCAACTTATTTATTTCATTGAACTTTCTTGAATCATAAATGATTATTAACTTCCCGAAGGAGAAGTTCATGTTTTCATAAAAAAATCCGATTCACTAAAGTTATGTTTCCTCGACGTTTGAAACCATTCTGAATCAAATGAGACCAAATTTGGAAAAAGTATGTGTGTGCGTGAACAGATTTTTTACCGTAAATCGATGTTTTCTTAAAAACGGCTGAACCGATTTCAAAAATTTGAAAGCCATTCGATGCATCTGGATGAGGACTAGCGTTTATCAACTTTGCGCGAGTGCGCGACGATCATCTAAGCCGTTTCTTTGTAAATCGCAGCAAAGTAAAAAAATTTTCGTCCACGTTTTAACCTGCAACTCCGAATCGATTTTGAAAATTCAAAACCGTTCGAAAGATATTGGTTGGAAATAAAGCTAATTAGTTTTTGGTAAAAATCGGTTTACTTGTATTGAGGTGTTATAAATTTTTTTTCGACGATTTTTATGATCTTTTTTGGCGGTAGATACCATTGTCTTATAGCTCACACTAAAATATTACGGCCCTATGACAAGTCGTTTAATTTTAAATATTCGTCAAAGTTTGTCAACATTATTTTGCATTTGTCAAAATTAGACCTTTCATCGACGTTTGCTCAAAAACGCCTGAATCGATTTCAGAAATTTAAAAACCATTTGATGTAACTCAATGCGGACTATTGTTTGTCAGTTTTGTGCCGCGATCTGCCGAGCCGTTTCTTTGTAATGTGGAAAAAGTGTTAAACCCTTTGTCCACATTTAAGCTCATTCTACCGAATCGATTTCAAAATTTCAAAAAATATCAAAAACTGTTCAAAAGATATTAGTTGGGAATGATACTGATTAGTTTTAGGTAAAAATCTACCGAGCCGTTTTCTTGTAATTAACTGTTATAAAATAAATTTAAGCCGATTTTTATAGAACTTTTTTTGGCGATATATATTATGATCAAGTAGTTTAATTTTGACAATTCATCAAAGCTTCGAGTAGTTTTTTGACGTTTGTTAAAATTAAAATTACACGATTTACTTGGTATAACGATAAAGCACTTGGTATTAATGAACATACTGAACCATTAAAGTCCTACGGAAACTGGTTCAATTATAAAAATTATCGATATTTGAAAATTTGCCTTTCAAAATTCTCAAAAATATATTTTTTTAATATATATTAAGTTATTTAAAAAGATATATTAACTTCCCGTAGAGCAAGTTATAGTAATCGCAAAAAAATCGAAAATGAATTTTTTTATAGATATTTACGTTTCAAAACCTTCTGAACATTTTGGCATACCTTAGAAAAAATGGATGTATGCATGTGTGAGTCTGTGTGTGTGCGTGTATGTATGTATGTATCCGGGAACACGGATCAACCGACTTGAATAATTCAAGAAACATTCGATTCGTATTAATAAGGAGACGTGCTGATTAGTTTTTGGCGAAGACAGGTCTAGCCGTTCCGAAGATACGGGGCAAAAAGTGCCGAAAACGGTAACTCATTTTTGATTAATTCAAAAAACATTTTATTTGTATTGACTAAATAAAAAACTGTTCAAATTTCGTTGGAAAGGCAAGTCCAACGACTTTGGAGGTATGGAGAAAAAAGTAAAAAAATGAGCCATTTGGCGGTCAAAAATGAACATTAGACATATGCACATCAAATTATCAGACATTTTATAGAGATTTTAACAATAAGTATAAATTTTGTTTACACTCCTATGGGTTCCGTACCAATGTTTACGCGTTAGACGGCGACGCGGCGCTTACGCGATTTGATATTTCGTCCTTATGCAGTTAAAGCAGTATGATTGCTTTGAAAAAAGTTCAGAATTTCTAAAATATTTCAAAATGATTTAAGATAGAATGATTTAATATGGTTCGAAATTCTATTAAAAGTTTCAAATC